CGGGGGGACCAGTGGAAGATCACTAGACCGGGTTACGAGATTGATGTTGCATGAAGTGGAGGAGCCTCAGGGTCCACGACGGAGGTGTACACTTTCAAAGTGAAAGTGGATCCAAAGCGACCCTGGATCCTGCATGAGTGTACGCATAATAGGGGTAACCCATAATGATTACGCCCACGGATCCGGTGGATCTGAAGATAATACAGCTGGGATGATGGGTCAAGGGAAGAAGGGACATGCAGCCGAGCCTGGTAAGGGATTTAGCAGATGAAAGACATAGAAGGTAGAAACCCAGGCAGGTATAGGCTTAAATATCAATACAGACCTCAATTTGCACTGTGGAGGGCAAGTGACCTGTAGTCGTCTCGGGGGTTGGATTTGGCCTCGGGCGATCGCCGTAACAGGAGTGAACATTGGCCCTGGACAAGGACAGCGTCTACTTCGCCCGCCAAGCATCAGGTCTCACTATGGAGTAATCAAGATCACGAACTAGAGAACAAGTGGGCACGGAATCCTAACGGGATCATCAAGTGGAGATCAACTACGTATAGCGTTTCGACGGGGATTGGATTTGGCCTCGCAGAACATTCGTAGCGGAGATGAGCATTGGCCCGGACAAGTTTCGTGTATACTTCGTCCCTAGGGACTAACTCAATAAATAAAGACCTCAATTTGCACAGTATCACGCAAGTGCCTTCCTGCCCTCAAGAACCGGAGCTACATTGGCCGTACGAGTTCCGAGAAGGTTGGGAATTGCGAATCTAGTGTTGGTAGTGATAACTGGATAATACATTGGCCAGATCCTACAACCTAGTGAGCTTTTCCTTCACTCGTGCAGATCCGACAGGTTAACCGAATTTACTACTTGGTCGGTTACACCCTAGAGGCTCTCAACTTTCAAGATCCCGTCACAGGAGGCGGCAAGTACGACTTAAAGGACAACACAAAGGCAAGGGAACACACCCGCAAGGCAACCCTACGGCCAGATCCACGATCTAGGCCCCGGATCCATAAGCTCGAATATTCGCTTAGGATACGGAACCATCCACGGACGCAGAGTGAAGATTTTCCACTGCTGCTCCACCCCATCCCCACGTCTCGCCAAGACACTCAAGCTTCACCACTTGAACTCTTCGAAAGTTACCGAGAGAGCAGATCCCGCCCTACCGACGGGTACACAAGGTGAGGAAAGTTCAGCAGAACACGGATCATCGGGGGACCCCCTCCGTTAGTCGGTGTCTGGGCGCAGTTGGTAAGTTGGATCTGGCAATCTCGCAGATTTTGCTGATCCCGCTACACCACAGCAAATCGCGGAGCCACAAAAGGCGATTCCACGATTGCACGGGCGGCAGATCAGCCACGGAAGCACCGGGGAGCGCTTTTGGATATCACGATTGCACAACGTGGATCAGTATGCCATTGTTGAATATAATAACACGGGAAACACAGATGCACTACGCGAGCACGAAAGCATAGGATAGCAGAATTATACTGCGCTCGCATGATAGCGCGATAACGCGGTCGATGAAGTCACACCAGGAGAGCACGTTACACGGGGGACGGATCCATATAACTACGGAATAGCACCCGTCGGCGAGGGTACCGTCGATGAGACGCCATGGACCATGAATGAATATGGACCACTAAACCTGTAAACCCACTCAAGACCTTGGGAACACGGAAAAATAGCAGCCACGAAAGGGTGTCGTACTACTGAAAAGCATGAACCCAAAAGAGAGAGCGCATTAACGGAAAAGGGCAATATCCACGGAGGAACATAGACGCCAACCAGTAGTACGGAGCAACGGACGCGTACGAATTAACGATACCGTACACTGCCACATGAGACTACGAAATGACAGGTGTTTTAAGTACACGACACAACATCGCACGGGGATGGCCGAAGCCTCGGGGTACAAGATCAGACTGAAAGCACACAACACACGAAGTACTTAAAATTGCGGCCACCTTATCTCCAACAAACCATGCCACTCCGCCGCGTAGCGGCGGCGAACGGCTAGTTACCCCTCTAGTGGAGTGTGTTGTCTGTCCGTCCGTACGTCCGTCCGCGGCTAGGTTTTATTAATGTAACGCAAATGCGGGCGCTCTACTGGCTGACGAGCACAGCGAAGGCGGCCTCGATTCGCTAAAAAGCTGTCGAGCGCAGCGAAGGCGGCCTCGATTCGCTAAAAAGCTGCCGAGCGCAGTGAAGGCGGCCTTCATTGGCTAAAACAG